AGGCTGGAGTCAGACAAGTGTTAATATTGTCATTTTGAGTCCAAAGGGGTCGGGAGACAAATTTCTTTTCTTTTTTTAAGAATTTATTTAATTTTATTTATTCATTTATTTATTTTTAATTTGACCAGAAAGACACACAGAGAGAGGGAGAAATAGAGAGAGGAAAAGAGAAAAGGCAAGCCACCAGGTCCAGGACTTGAACCATGGTCAGCCATATAGGAGTGTCCAGTACCTCAACCACACCACCTGCTGGTCCTGGCAGATTTCTTCTTCTTCAGGAAAATAGTCTATTCTCTTAAGCCTTCACCTGATTGGAAGAAGCCCACCCATATCATGGAGTTTAATCTGCTTTACTCCAAGTCTATGGATTTAAATGTTAATCACATGTAAAAGTACCTCCCTAGCAACATCTAGACTGGTATTTGACCAACAACTATGTACAATTGTCTAGCCAAGGTGTATAAAATTAACTATCACATTCATCTAATATTTCAGGAGTAGAAAGTCCAGTTTTAAAGCCAGTAAACTCTACACTTTATATTAAGTTTATTTTTCTATTAGAGAGGGAGACAGGGAAGTAGAGAGAGTCAGGCACCCTTACAGCATCTCCACACTGTGACCTACTGTACCATCAGCCCGAGTGCTCAAGGAGACTTTAGAATACAAACCTGGGCCTTTCCCATGTGGCCTCAGTATTGTGGAGTGTGGCATTAGCCACTTAGCCAACCCACCTGGCCTGATCTATCTTTAGTAAATGTGTGAATTTTGGAAAGTCCTTTGACTTCTCTGAACCTCAATTTAAGCAGGAATAATAATACAATCTATCTCAAAAACAGATCCAAGATTTGTAAAACTCTATGTTTATTAGAATTTATAAAACGCTGTAACAAGAAAATTAAAACACTAACAGGAAATTATGAATACATACTTATTTGGTTATATAACATATTTACTTAGTTAATACAGTCTTAGGTGCAACTCTATATATTTAGAAGGAAATTTAAAAATATAATGTTTAAAAGTTAATCAATTTCTTTTTTATTTTTTTATTTTTATTTTTTGGAGAGATTTTCACTGTAGGGCGCGTGCGCTCGCCAGACAGACAGAGACATAGAGACAGAGAGCGAGAAATCACCCCCCAGGGGGGATGGTTACGCCGCAATCCCTTCTCCTCCATTCTCCTCTCGGGATCTTGGGCACGCACGCACACGCGCCAGGCGTGAGTTTTAAGCCACCGGGTCCGAGACACGAACCGCGGTCGACTACGTGGGAGTCCAGCGACATAGCCATTACGCTAACTGCTGGTTCCCAAAAGTTAATCAATTTCTTAAGATCAGCAGATGGTATAATGGTTTTGTTGCTGGACTCCTAGTAGTCGACCACAGTTCAAGTCCTGGACCTGGCAGCTTAAAACTCATGCTGGGCATGTGTGTGTGTATGCCCAAAATCCCTAGAGGAGAATGGAGAAGAAGGGATTGTGGCATGGCCAGCCCCAACGGAGGGTGATTTCTTGCTTTCTGTCGCTCTTGTCTCTTGGGCGAGCAGACATACCCTATAGTAAAAATCTCTCTTTAAAAAAAAAAATACAGGGGGGACCAGCAGTTAGCGTAATGGCTATGTCGCTGGACTCCCACGTAGTCAACCGCGGTTCGTGTCCCAGACCCGGTGGCTTAAAACTCATGCCAGGCGCATGTGCGTGTGTGCCCAAGATCCTGAGAGGAGAATGGAAGAGAAGGGATTGCAGCGTGGCCATCCCCCCGGGGGGTGATTTCTCGCTTTCTGTCTCTCTGTCTCTCTCTCTGTCTGGTGAGCACACATGCCCTATAGCAAAAATAATAATAATAATAAAAAAAAAATACAGGGGCCTGCAGGTGGTGTGGTAGTTAACGGCACTGGATTCCCACATAGTCAAAGGCAGTTTGAGTCCTGGACCTGGTGGCTTGCTTTCTCACTTTCTCTCTCCCTCTCTGGTCAAATTAGAATGGATAAATAAGTATAAATAAAATAATTCTTTTTTTTTAATTTAAAAATAATAAGGCGACCCCTGGTAGTGTGGTGGTTAAGGCACTAGACACTTCCACATGGCTGGCCAGTTTGAATCCTGGACCTGGTGGCTTGCTTTCTCACTTTTCCTCTTTCTCTCTCTCTGTCTCTCTTTCTCTGGTCAAATTAAAATAAATGAATGAATAAATAAAATTAAATAATTATTTTTGAAAATACAATAATACAAAAATTAATTTAGACTATCCTCCAACATATCTGACAGAAATTTGCTTTTATTTTTCTTTTTGACAGTTTATAGAGGACTCACTTTCGACTCTTGGTTAGTAACATATAATTTTTAGGATTGTTGTCAAGGTTGGGGGAACCTCTATTGAGTTGCTTTCATATCTGAACTGTAAGATTTCAGGGCATTTTAGATTTTGTATGGAGTAAATGCTCTTAAATATTCTTTGAATTGAACATAGAGTACTCTTAGAAGATATCCTAAACTGAGATGATCAGCAATAGTGCAGTTATATACCTGGAAGAGATTACAAGCACATACATGTATCCCAGGCAACCATTAACAACATTTAAAAAATGCTTATTGTCGGGCCCAGCAGTTGGTGTAATGGCTATGTTGCTGGACTCCCATGTAGTTGACTGTGGTTTGAGTCCCAGACCCAGTGACTTAAACTCAGACTCTGTGTGTGTGCCCAAGATCCCAAGAGGAGAATGGAGAAGAAGGGATGTATTATACCCATCCCCCTTGGGGGAGTAATTTCTCACTGTCTGTCTCTCTGTCTCTGTCTTTCTGGAGAGCACACATGCCCTATAGCAAAAACCTCTCCAACAACAAAAAAGTGCTTATTGTCATTTCATATTTAAATAGGAAGGAATAATATGACTTAGGGGCAGTTGAAATGAAAAAGACAGTCTTTACTGACTATAGTTGGAATATATATTTTTTGCAAATTTAACACAATATGTAAACATGTGAAGATATTGCTAGGATAGTCTTTTTGGAAGATACCCAGGCAAGTAAGCCTTGTTAGCTTTGCAGCTATCTTGCCTCTATCCTAGCCTATTTGGATTTTGAGTTTTGAAATAGATAACGCAGGTTTGGAAAACGGTTATACACTTAGTAAGTAATTACCTCTTGGCTTTTGGTTAATATCAAGTGTAATAAACATAACTAAAGAATGACAGAATTGTTAGTAATTTTTAAAAATGATTGTTTTTTTAAATTTCCTCAGTAGAAGTATTTTTAAAATGTCATTTTATTTATCATTATTATTATTACTATTTTTCAATTTGCCATAGAGCACATGCACTCATCAGAGACAGAGAAAAAGAGGGAGAGGAGAGAAAGTGAGAAAGCAAGCCACCAGGTCCAGGGCTCAAACCACGGTAGGCCACTTGGGAGTCCAGTGCATTAACCGCCATACTACCTGCGACCCCCAGTAAAAGCCTTTAAAAATAATTACTTGAGGAGCTGCACACTGGTGCAGCAGTAAATCACTATACTCCGCCAGGCTGAACCACATGAGAGGATTCTAGGTTCATGTCTGGATATTGCCCTCTGTAGGCTGGGCATGTGCGTGTTCATGATCCTGGGCTGGCTGAAGCTAGGGGTGGATCACGGCATCAAGGCCCCTATTAAAGTTGGCTATCTCTCTCTGTCCTTCACTTTCTTTCTTTCTCTTTGTCTCACTCATAGAAGAAATAAATACACTTTTAAAAAATCATTTAATTTCTCGCTTTCTGTCTCTGTCTCTGTCTTTCTAGAAAGTGTCTGTGCCCTATAGCACAAATCTCTAAAAGAGAAAAAAAAAAGTCATTTGAGGGGCCAGCAGTTGGTGTGGTGGTTAAGGCACTAGACTTCCACATGCCTGACTGTAGTTCAAGTCCTGGACTGGGAGCCTTGCTTTCTCACTTTCTCTCTCTCTCTCTCTCTCTCTCTCTCTGGTCAAATTAAAAACTTATAATAATGAATGAAATTCAATAAAATAATTCTTAAATGAAATCATGTGAGAAGTCAGCAGGTGGCATGGTGGTTCACACATGACCAACTGCAGTTCAAGTCCTGGACCCAGTGGCTTGAAAAGCACACCGGACACCTGTGTGTGAGTGTCCATGATCTTGAGAGGAGAATGGAGGAGAAGTGATTGTGGCATGGCACCCTGGGGGGGTGATTTTTCCCTCTCTCTGCCTCCCTCCAGTGAGCACATGTGCCCTATGGAAAAAACTTCTAAAAAATAAAAATCATTTGAAGTAAATAATAAATATAAAGTGCTTTAACTGTTTTCTGTACTGGAATTGCTCTGAATAGATCACAAAGTAATTCTTAAGCTAATTCAATAGTAATTGCTCTTGGGCTGGGTCAGTAGTTTGGTGGTTAAGATAGCTGGATCCCACATGGTCAAAAGTGCCATTGGAATCCCACTCCAGAAACTTGAAAAACACACCAGGCACATGTTCATGTGTGCCTAAAATCCTGATAGAGTGGAGATTTGAAGCAGCAGGGATTGCAGCATGACCAGACCTTCTCTTTCTCTCTCTCTCTGTCTCTCTCTCTCTCTGACAAGTACACAGCCCCCTGACTAATTTTTTTAAGTAATAGTTCTTATTCCCATGTGTATTCTTAAGCACGAATTTGTAGTAGATAAAAAATAAATATGGAGCCAGTAGATGGCATCATGGTTATGTTGCTGGACTCCCACATGGCCAACTGCAGTTTGAGTCCCAGACCCAGTGGCCTGAAACTCTCCAGGAGCATGTGCTTGCATGTCCAAGATCCCAGGAGGAGAAGGGATTGCAGTGTGCTCATCCCCCCCGGCAGGGGGTGATTTCTCACTATCCCTCTCACTGTCTCTGTCTCTCTCTCCTGCAAGCGCCCACACCCTAAGACAACTACCGCTAAAAAAATAAAATAACTTACATGACTGTTAAATATATACTACTATAAATAAAGCCTTTAATATAAATGTGATGTTTTTGTAATTTTCTTCTTATAGGTAATATAGGTACCAGAAACAAGCTTGTTCATTTCTAAATCTAGCATTGGATTTTGTCAGAGAATCTCCAACCTCACTGGCAGTGAGCCCAGAGAGACACGTGCAGTGATGGTTGTAAGACATGTACACTATCGTTGGGCTGTTCTGATGGAGCGACAGGCTTACTGAAGAAGCTGCATGTAGATTCTACTCTAAGTACCAGTGACGCACCAAACTAGAGGATTTCTACCAGTCGAATAAGCATGCAGTATATTTTCTTTGGAAATATGTATTTCCCTATCCCCAAATACTTCTCCATACAGCTAACCTAACAGGATACTCTCTTATAGCAACAAAGATTTCAACTCTGAAGATTAATTATTGTTTTAAACAAACCATGTACGTTTATTACCAGCGACTACCATTATAATTTTTGGATCTTTAGCATAAGCACATGTTTGGAAAATAAATGGTGAAATAACCAACGTTGACAAATGTGACAGCAGCAAAGCTCATCTAAGATCAGATGATCATGCCTAACCAAGTCAAAATGTTTTAGCAATAAAATTACAGGATTATCCTGTTCTCTAAAAATGTATAAAATAAGAATATGAAAAAAAATGATGGCAGCAAGGCCTTTTTATTTTCATATTAAACGATTCCACCTCATTACAGAAAAACAACCCCATGTTTTTGTGATTGTTAAAACAAAGCATCAACTTTCAGAATAATCTTTTCCTTTGCTTATTTATAAGACAGGCTTCTAATTTTTTTCTTATCTAAACTATTAAATGTAAATATGTAATATGAAACATTAATTATCACCAAAAACATCCTATATATGATGCAACATTATATGTATTTGGTCAGTTATTTTGCTACACTGCTTAGTTTTAACTGGTTTACTTTCGTTGTAGCAGAAAATGAAAAATAAATCATATGGGTTTGATTATCACACAAAAAGAAAAATACCATTTCGTAAATTAGCAAAAGATAAAATATTCATCAAGAGCCTTCTAACTTGATGTTAGGTTGTCACATGGGACCACTCTGCTATACAAAGCCATGCTTCTTCAGTACACAAGGTCACGTTTAAACTTGAGAAAGAGGATGCTATAAAAGTTAAAAGTTCAGTATTGTGGACCCAGGGAACATTCCATAAATGTTGCTTGATAATAATGTGGTTGTACAAAATAAATGTTTTAAGGAAAAAACTTATGTAACATTTGCTACTTTTACTTAAATATAAATAAATCCCATTGAAAAGATAAATGGCATCACTTTCTTATTACTTTATTAATGTATAAAATTCATGGAAAATATTTTTTTCCCAGGCTGATGGTTTAACCCACATAGTGAAGCATTATCAGTATAATTTGGCTATCTGGTTCTGGCTTGTATGTCTTATAAAAATCCATGCTCTGAAAGATACATACACAATGTCCAGAAAGGTAAATACGTTTAATATCTGTATTGGAAAAGGAGAATCTGGCCAGCTGTGGTGGTGCAGCAGTAGCCAGCCGTTCCACAGTGCTGGATCTATGTGGAAGATGGGGACGTGGGCCCAGGCCCCAGGTCCACCTGTGTACACTGGGTGTGTGCACGCATGCCTATGATCCTGGCTGGTTGGGAAGGCTAGGAGGGAGAGTCGTGGTCTGAGACCAGGTTAAGAGTGCTTCTCTTTCTTGGAAGAAATGAATAAATAAACCAGAAAGGAGGTGGGGAGAGAAAAGGAAAAGAATATTCTTACTGTTGCGGGCTATTTCCTGAAAAAAAATTGGTGGTGTAGTGGTTAAGGCACTGGGTTCCCACATGGCTGACCATGGTTTGCATCCCAGACCCTGTGGCTTAAAAATCACACCATGTCCACGTGCATGCACTTGAAATCCCAGGAGGAGAGTAGAAGAGAAAAAGTTTCAGTGTGGCCATTCCTCCTGGGGGAGTGATTTCTTACTCGCCCCTCTCCATCTTTCTCCAATAAGTGCACTGTGGCCCCAGGGGGTGATTTCTCACTTTCTGTCTCTCTGCCTGTGAGCACATACACCCAGTAACAAAAATCTCTCAAAACAAAATAATTATCAGTAATATTTTGGACATGTTGCATTAAATAAAATATTAATTTTAAGGGGCCAGCAGGTGTATGGTGGTTAAGACACTGAATTCTTCATGGCCAGCTTTGTGGTTTGAGTCCCAAACCAGGTGGCTTGAAAATCACACTGGGTACATGTGTGTGTGTACCCAGAATCCTGAGGGGATACTGGAAGAGAAAGATTGTGACATAGCCATCCCCCCGGGAGGTGATTTCTCATTTTCCCTCTTGGTCTATCCATCTCTGGGAAGCTCACATACCCTATTGCAGAAACCTAAAATATTACATAAAAAATTAATATTATCTACTTAATTTTACTTTAGAAATACCTATATAGTTTACATTAAAGTTCTTTTTAAAATTATTTAATTTTATTTATTTGTTCATTTATTTTGACCAGAGAGAGGAAAAGTGAGAAAGCAAGCTGCAAGCCACTAGGTCTAGAGGGCCATCTCTGTGGCTCAGCAGTAATGTGTTCATCAGGAAAAGTGGGATCCAACATGGTGACTGGGTTCTAGTCCCTGGCCTGGTCAGCCTAAGAGGGCAGGGCATGTGAGTGCCCAAGATCCAAAGGGCTCAGAGGACTGGATGAAGAGAGTCGTGGTGTGACCAGCTGTGGAGGGCACACTTCTCTCTCTCTCTCTTGCTTGCTCCCTTGTGCACACTCTATCATTAAAAAAAATAAAAATAAAAAACTTAAACAAAAATGTTTTATCAAACAGCATTACCTTATGTGATGGTTACCCACAAAGTTAGGTTTCTCTGTTCTAGACCTTATTCTTTACTTTAAGATCTATGTTAAAGAGCCAGCAGACAGTATGGTGATTAAGATGCTGGACCCCCACATGGTTGACTACGATTGAAGTCCTGGGCCTGGCTGCTTACAGTTATGCCAGGTGTGTGTACCCAAAATTCCAGGTGGAAAATGGAGAAGGGATTGCAGTGTGGCCATCCTCCTAGGGGGATGGGATGGTAATTTCTCACTTTCCCTCTCACTGCCTCTTTCTAGGCAAATCCCTAAAAACAAACAAACAAAAACACATTATTAACTGCCCTTTTCATTATTTTCACATTGCTGTTGGTATCTCCAACTGAGTATGTCTTAGACTGATTTCTGAACTTATCAACCCTACACCATGTTATGGAGAAATGTCCAAACACCCCTTTGTTGTTGAAACTGACAGCTACTGTTTTTCCCATTGCAGTGTTCGTAAAGGGCTTGTTTTTCTTGTTTAGAGTACTATACTAGTTTCCACACAAGTCTGTCTTCATTCTTGCCCCCATTCTTAATTCATCCTCCTCATCCACCTAGTAATGGCCATTCTAAAGTACATATTTATTATAACTTATTAGAAAGACATTCAGACTCAGATAACAGAACTCAAATCATTTAAATAGATTTATAACATACGAGAAATCTAGTGCCTTGCTCGAGTAGCTCAATAATGGCATCCTTACCCTGGTGCAAGATGGTTGGCACAGTTTTAGACATACTAAGTTTATGCTAAGTAAGTAACATTGTAAGGGGGGTGGAGGAACCCCTGGATATACATCAGGAAAGTAAAATAAGCTTTCCAAGAAGCTTCTCAAAGTAAGTTTGTATTTTACTGGCCAGAACTGTGTCTCTGTGGCCATCCTCACTGCAAGGAAGGCGTAGGAGATGAGCCTTTACATTTCTTCTTCTTCTTTTTTTTTGTTGTTGTTGTTGTTTGTTTTTGTAGAAAAATAACCCCCAGGGGGTATGTAAGCTCCAGACCCTTTAATCACTAAGCCATGGCCCAGAACTTTGGTTTCTTGTAGAAAGTGGTACCTGGGCAAGAGAGAAAGAACTCAGAATGGGTGGTGGGTTAGCCAGTCTGTCTACCTTATTTCAACACTGAACATTTTTCACTAGTTTCTTTATTTTTTCAAGATATTGGGTCATCAGAAAAGTCATGACATATTTTTGTATTTCTATGCAAAAATATATCCTGACTTTCCGGACAACCAAATAGTTAACTTCAGCTTTTACTATAATTTTATGAGTCTGTGCTCTTGAGCCAGTACTAAGATCAAGGTAGCTGTCATGAATCTATTGATAGTTATCAAAGTGCAATTTATAGATGATTTAATAGGGTTCTCTCTGTTTTGCACCAGATGAAATTGAAGTGTCAACCGGTTAAGTGAGTTGCCATGGTCACAGTTTGTCATGAGCAAACAATCAACCCTATGATATACTGTCTGTTTACAATTTAATGTTTTGGGGACTGAGTGTAATTGTGTTTATTTGTTTGTTTATTTAATTCTGTTTGTTACTATTTTTTAATTTGACCAGGACAGGGAAAGCTAGAAAGCAAGCCTCCAGGTCAGGGACTCAAAACTGCAGTCAGCCATGTGAGAATCCAACGCCTTTACCCACCACGCCACCTGCTGGCTCCGATTTTAAATCATTGCTTCTCTTTTACTATCCAGGTGACTGTGGAGAGTTGGTATCTCTGAACTTCAATTTATTCATGTTTCAACAAGGATTATGATGATTGCATCCTGAGTGGTATGTGAGGCCTCTTGATTTTGCATCTGGTATGCTATATTTAAGAACTCTCCTCCCCCCTAAAATGATGAATACACCATTGGATGTACAATTTGAAATATTTGTTAGGCCAAAAACAAGTGAATCACTGCAAGTTTCAAAAGACTTATTTTTTTTACTTGCCAGAGGGTGCATGTCCTCACCAGAGAGAGACCACCACCTAATGGGGTGTGATTTTATTACAGTCTTTTGTCCTAGATTTCTCCATTTTGTTAGGATTTAGGGGACCTCTACATATGTCCCTGGTGTTTTTCAAGCTGCTGGGGCCAGGATTTCAACCATGGTCCATCATGTGGGATCTGGCTGATCTTGTATAGCACTTAAATACTGTACTATAGGGTGGATCTTAAAAGATTTAAAAGTTAGGACCAGCAGGTGGCATGGTGGTTAAGGCACTAGACACTTCCATATGGCCAACCACGGTTCAAGTCTCGGACCTGGAAGCTTGCTTTCTCATTTTCGTTTTCTCTGTGTGTTTGTCTTTCTCTGGTTAAATGAAAATAAATGAATGAATAAGTAAAGTTAAATAATTATTTTTAAAGAAGATTTAAAAGTTAACAATATCACAAATGTTTAATAGTTTACAGAGATTTCTTTCAAATTCTCAACTTTTTTTTTTCAGTAATGTAGATTTTTGGATTATTTTCAAATTTGGAGAAACCTCTATTGAGTTTTTCTCAAATCTGAGTTGTAAGATTTCAGATTTTGTGTGGAGTGGATGATTTTAAATATACTTTGAATTTGCCATTTTCAGAATATTCCTAGAAGACATCTTGAACTAGATGGCCAGCTATAATGAAGCTGTACATGGAAGAGATTTCAAAGTACAAAAATATATCCCAACCAAGCCTTACTAAGATATCAGAAATGTGCAGTGGCACTCCATGGTTACAACATGGAGGGGGGCTGCTGTCAGGTAGCAGTGGTTAAGGGTGCTGGACTCTCACATGGCCAACTGCTGTTCAAGTCCTGGACCTGGTGGCTTGCTTTCTCACTTTCTCTTTCTCACTCTCTTTCGCTCTGTCCCTCTCTGGTCAGATTAAAAATAAATAAAGTTAAATAAAATAATTATTTTAAAAAATAAATAAAAACCATGAGGAAAATATGACTTAGGAACAGTTGAAATATAGAGAGCGGTCTCAACTGATGATGGTTGAAATACCTTACTTTTGCAAAATTAACAAAAATTTATGTGTGAAAATATAGGTCTATGGCTCCTTTTATGAAAGGTACCTGCATTCAAGCTTTATTAGCATCATAATAATTCTGCCTCTGACCCAGCACTGTTTTTTTAAAATGAGGTGAAACAAACTTGGAAAACTATCAGAAATGTAAGCAATTGATAAACATTACCTGAGAATGAATTGTGAATAATTTTGTCTTGCTTTGTCTTTGCCATAGGCTGCATGCACTCATTGAAGAGAGAAAGAGACAGAGGGAAAGTGAGAAATCACCTCCCATGGGGATGGCCACACCTCAATCTCTTCACCTCCATTCTCCTCTTGGGATCTTGGGCACACAAGCACATATGTTCAGAGCATTTTTCAAGCTGCCAGTTCTACAACTTGAACCATGCAGTTAG